GATCCAAGGCTTTGCCATGTCTTCCCCATGTGCTTCTCTGAGCACACAGCAAACTCCTGGACTCGACAGTGATTGGTTGTGGAGGCTTCTCCAGCTTTCTCAGCCATCAAAGGATGGAAAGTAGAAATGATATCTGAAATTTAAAATACTTCCTTGAAAACATTCAGAGGAATTATCAAATGGATTTTTTTTTTTCTGGTGGAGATAAGAATACTGTTTTCTACAAAATATCATTTATCTGTTTATGGAACTTTAAAATTTTTGTGAAATCACTGCAGACACCGACCAAAAGGTTTTCATGAAAATAAGCTGCAAATAAATTCTTTTAAGTTTTGACTACAAGACTTCTTTCAAATGAGCATTATGAGTTCATAAATATTGGAAGATATTTTGTTGTCACATCTTGGCATCAAAAGACAACATCATCACCCTGATATATTCTCAAGGATTGCAATCACAAGACCAATAGGAATTATTTGATCATTACTGGTTTCTTCAAAACATCTGTGCCATAAATTCCTCAGTGTTTGAACATTGTCGTTCTCACTTTTGTCACACCTTTTCTTCTTTTGGAATTTTGAACTTTCAAACCCCTTGGCTTTTTTGCAGATTTCCTCCTACAGCCACGGGTGCCTAAAAACTGTTGTCCTTGGCCTTCCCACCAGACTTCTGCTCCTCCTGGCCTTGGGATGTCACGGCCTGGACATGAGTCAGTGGCACAGAGACACAAATGAATTGCCAGTGTGACATTTTTAGCAGGACTTACCTGGCAGTGTCCAAGACAGTGCTAGGGCCAGCACAGCCAGAACCAGGACAACAAGCAGCACAGCAATGTGAGCTCTGGAACAATGCCTTGGACCTACAGAGGGACAGAAACAGAAAGATGTGGGGAACAGCTGGACAGAAGCCCCTTTCCCCTGCATTCCAAGGTACCCTTTTCAGGCTCCCCCTGGCAATCTGGAGCTTTCCAGATTTCCATGCTGGAGCCAGGCTCAATGTCCTGGGGCTTCCCCACTGCCTCTGCAGCCCTGTGCTCAGGGAACTGAACACATCCCAACCTAACAATGGATTGAGGAGAGGGGAAAAGCTGGAGAGTCATCATTCAGGAAGGGGCATTGGTCCAGCCTGTTTCAGGAAGTGCAGAAGGTGATTAATATGCAAAGATTTCAGCTGGAATAGTTCAGCCTAAAGAAGCCCTTGGCTTTCCAGGTTTGTCATTCCCACAGGATGAATGCTTTCCTAGAGCAGGAGGTGGCAGCTCTGTGCACATGGTGCTGGCAAGAACTGTGGGAGGCTACATCCTATCTTTCAGCAGCCATTCCCAGTTGAAGATGCCAGATTTCTTTGGCTTTGGTGGCCAGG